AATTTTTGAATACTTAAATAGAAATATATATATATATATATCTATTTAAGTATTCAAAAATTTAGATTTTTTTTTTCCATCGCCTTATCAGTCCGCAGAGGGAACATCCGTAGATCAGAGTCAGTGTCTAACGTGTGTCTCCTCAACACTCCCATCCTCCCTTTTCTGTCTTTTCTGTCCCGCAGTTTTGACAAGATGCATCTGACGCTGACAGAACTCTGCTCCTCCTACTGTCTGTCCAACGACATCATCGTCTTCGACCACACCGTGGTTCCTTCGGAGTTCCTCCTCTCTCATCTGGAGACCTGCTTCTCTGAGTACGATGAGTGGAGACAGAGAGTTTATTGCATTTGTTCCAAATCAATATAACACCACAGTGGTGTGCAAAAACGGTGAAGAAGTTTCTTAAAAAAAATAAAAATAAACCTCTACAGTACATCGACCCCGACACCTCAGGCAATGGCTTTTTGAAAAATATATTACTAGTTTCCAAAATTGCAAAAAAAAATACATAGGGACTGTTTTACCTTTGCTTAAAAATACATATAAAAAATCAAATCAAAATAACCAGCTACAGAAGTGTTTCAACTTTCTAACATTGTGACTTGCATAGTATTACACTTTTTATATCACAATTATATTGTTCATTGCTACATATATATATATATATATAAATATATATATATATACATATATGTGTATATAAATATATATGTATATGTGACTTGCATAGTAATACATATAATATTGATATCACAATTTGTATTTTTTATTTATTACATATACCTTGCATAGTAATACATATAATATTGATTTCGCAATTATATTTTTTATTTACTACATATATATATATGGTATATAAATACATATATACCATATACATATATATACTGTATGTATATTCAAGTATATGTATAGCTGCCATCCTCACTGCTTCCAAATCCTCCGTTGCGATTCGATCCTCCATTTCGAGGTCCTACTGTAAAAAGGACAAAGCGTTAACAGTGTCACTCACTGCTCTGCGTCATTTCAGTGTGAACTTTTATTTAGATTAGGGTTCGTTTCGCGGCCGACGTCAGTTCCCTGTGTATGCTCTGCTTAGTCTCCCTGTCTTGGTTGATGACTAGCTCTGCTGTCATTCTAAAACTAATTTTAAACTGCTTTTGATCGAACGGTGTTTGCGGTGACTGCACCTTAAGAAGCCAAAATTAAAACTCTGTATTTGGCCGTATCCAAAAGAGAGATAAGTAACGATGATTACATAAAAAAAACAGACATAGATAGAAATCAAGAAGAGCCGTGGAGCAGAGAATGTGCTGATCAGGAGGGGAAAGATCCCACGTTGTTATGGTTGCTTTCACCCGTTTCCATGGGCCCCGACACTGTAGTCAGACTGACAACAATGTGACGTGGGTTAAATGTGTTTCTGCAGGATTATCGTGAGAATGGCTAATTACAACAAGACCACCCAGGAGATAGCCCGTCCCTCAGACCTCCTGGCCGGACTCAGAGTCTATACGACCACCCTGCACAGCCTCTCCAGCTACGTCAACGTGGACGTCAGCCGCTTGGTCAAGACGGTCCTGCTGCAGCAAACACAGCCGGTGGACTCGCGTGGCGCTACCACCATCACCACCCTCTATACCAACTGGTGCGTTGAAGTGCAAGCAGTCATTTATAAAGTTACAGAGAGAAAACATGTATCGATACATCCCCTCGTACCTTCTCTCATTCCTTTTTTGTTTTCTTTCTTTTCCTGCACGTCAGGTATTTGGAGAGCCTGTTGCGTCAGGCCAGCAGCTCCCTCATCGTCCACTGTCCTTCCATGCACTGCTTCATCAACCAGTTGTCTGAGAATGAACCAGTCTTCAAAGCAGAGGAGTTTTCAGATATATCAGGTATGTTTTTAAAATCCAGATAATGCTGTCAACGTTAGGTCATTTACAGTATAGGTACAGTGAAAGGCGCGGGTGTCAAAGTCATTTCCACCAGGGGGCCACATCAGCTATAGAGCTCTCCTTGTAGGGTTCAGTTATAATTGACATATTAATAAATGTTTCTGCAATTGATTATTATTTATTTAAGGTACGACTATTCTATATTCACTTTTTGTAGTAAAAAAGGTTAAGAAAAGTAAATCAGGTTTAGCAGCAAATTATGACAAGGCAAGCGCTTGCAGGCCACACAGAACGATTTGGTGGGCCGCATTTGGTCCGCAGGCCGTGAGTTTGACACGTGGTATAAGGTGTTCACAATATAAGACACATGTTTTGTTTTGTTTTTTACTTTAAAAATAATGGCCAGCAGCATAGTGATACGAATTGAGAAATGAACCTTTTAAAAAAACCAAGTTTACCTTTATTAGGAAATATTTGGCTTGCCTTTTCTGTTTCATACAGTTATATGCCAATTCATCCTCTCTACTGATACACTGCAGTTTGTACAATGGTAATATCAGTCCACTTAAATGTCCTGGTCTCAGCCAGTGAGTAACATACGGTCTCCTCCATGAGGTCATTTCTTAAACTGGAGACAAGTTGTTTCTTCACCTGAAGTACAAACAGTTCCAAAGAGCAGGGCCTCGTGGACATGAGAGATGAGTCAGTTTCCTGCAAAGACACAACTCACGGATCGTTTGAGTCACTGCTGTGATGCAGCGGTGCAGGCGGAGAATTGTTGCTCCACAGGAAGAATAGCTTTTTTTTTTTTTTTTTCCTCGTCACAGTGTTGGGTGTTTTCTTTCCCACTGCCTTGTCGTCCAGCTCAGCCTGACGCTGCCTGGATAATGTAAACTTCAGCATTGGTCATCATCATCATCATACTTCGCCTTGTTTCCACCCCCCCTCACAGCCTCCTGGCTCCTGTTTGGGCCAAGGAGCAGGGGCAGCAGTTCACCTCCTTTTGACAGCGTTGATGTTGATGTTGACGTTGCTGCACAGCGACGCTAGTCTCAGACTTCCACAAACAAACATTTGTACGTCCTGTACTCGTGGTGAAAGACGCTCACGATGTTCTCACAGAGTCGGTACCTCAGAGGCCGGAGTACTTTGGTACACACCTCCACCAGATTCCATCGTCGTTGTCTATATTTACTCCTCAGTGATGTACTGTATCTGACTGTGACTCACTCTCCTTCCATTAACTCCAGCCTGTTTAAACCACACACAGACAAAGAGAGAGAGAGAGAGAGAGAGAGACGTAGCCCTCCGTGTACAGGTAGTGGTCTTCACTAGCCTCGCGGCCTGATTTATGAACTGTCTACTACGTTTCGTGTTCTACCTCAGGGATCCTCAACCCCCGGTCTGCGGACCGGAACTGGTCTGTAGATAATTCGGTACTGGGCCGCAGTAGGACACAATAAAAAAAACTGTACTGTATTTGTACTAATTTGCTTCATTCTGGCATTTTTCTGGCAGTCATTGACACTGCCATGTCTAAAAATGATCCCTAATGATAATTCAACAACCGGTCTACAGCAACAGTCGGTACCGGCTGACTGGTCCTTGGTACAAACAAGGTTGGGAACCGCAGTTCTACCTGACCCCTACTCATTCAATCATGTAGGACAGAGTCAAAAATACAAACGTTCAGCTCGGGTTTGTGCAAGAAATAAAAACAACAATTCAACAACCAAAAAAAAAAAAACAATTAAAAAAAAAAAAAAAAAAAAATTGATATAAAATAAAAAAAATTATATTTTTTATAAAATATATAAAAATATATTTTTTTTAGATATAAAATTAAAAAAATAAAAAAACAACAAAAATATTTAATATTTAATAATTTAATATCTTTATTTTTTTTTTACCTTAATCATTTTGTACCAATCACACACACAGAACAAAACATTCCTTGTAGTGGTAACTTCCCTCCTGCTGATTTCATTGTTTTCCATCTCTCCGAGCAGAACTGGAGGCCCTGGCGGAGCTCATTGGTCCGTATGGCCTGAAGTTTCTCAGTGAAAACATGATGTGGCACATCACCTCTCAAATCAGTGAGATGAAGGTACTGAAAACAGAGTCTACTGTGGATATACAACTCTACTGTGTGGGAAAAGGTAACACAGTCTAGGGAGGGTTGATAACAGTGTGGGGGAGGATCGTAAAGGGTAAATATATACGGAAATAATATAAAAACTCTCGCCTCTACTTTGCGTTTTTTTTTCTTCCATTTTTCCAACTATCGCGATAAGAGAGAGACCACTGCATATATATAACACAATACACGAATTAAACACAATATTTTAAGAAAATAAAGCTGAGGCTAACGTCGCGATTTTACCGTTATTTTAAGAAAATAAAGCTGAGGCTAACATCATGATTTTACCCTCTGCGATTGAAAACTAGAGAGGTCCGATATTATCAGCCCGATTATCGCTAAAAATCGTTGTCAGTTTTTCCTCCAAAATAAATATTAGCATAATTATGTAATATCAGTAAAAATCGTTGTCAGTTTCTCCTCCAAAATAAAAAAAAATGTCTGGGTTTAGCCAGATACACTGCTATCGCCTAAAAAAATATTTTGTACAAACACTGCTAATTTGTGGAATTCCTTTAGCGTAAAAGTAGGTAATGTGTTAAGATACATATTTGATGTAACATAAAAATAGTTTTGGGGAAACACGTCTACATACTGTATATCGGTAGCGGTTTATTACGGAAATTGGAGATTAAGTGTTTGGACAATATCGGATATCGGAAAAAAGCTAATATCGGACATCACTACTGATAACAAATAATGATGCGACTTATATTCAGGTCAGGTGTGATTATCTCGATTACGTTATCCAGGTGATTCAGACAATTCAATATATGTATATGTACGTATATATGTAAATATATCTAAACTGTGTGTATATAAGTATAATTATGTAATAACGCTAAGAATCGATAACGATTGGACAATACCGACATATCAGATATCAGCAAAAATAAGATTGGACATCTCTAATATTTATATGTATTTATATGTATATTTATATATATGTAATGACTTTACGCACCTTCCCCTCTTATATATTGATGATTTGAAACTGTGGAATTGTGTTGGCACCAAACGTCTGCATATTTTCAGCTGACTTAAATTTGGACTTTAGAAGGACACGCAGCCTGATGCGCCGTAAATGAAGCTGTCCCGCATCTGGTTTCACACATTGACAGCTGTGATTGAAGTGAACGGCGGTGCGGCTGCAGCTCTTCACTCGCTGACAGAGCTGTCCAAGCTGAGGCTCTCTTCATTACACGTTCCCCCTGAAGACCTGCATTGTGTCTCAAACTCCCTCTCCCTCCTTGACAGAAACTGGTGATGGAGAACATGGACATCCTGGTACAGATGAAAAGCAACTTTGATAAACCAGAGGAAATGGCCAATCTCAAGAAGAGACTGACAGGTGAGCGGCGAATAGATAAGAGGGAGAGATAAAGAAGATGTGTGGTGAGACAGAGAGACAGAGAGACGGAGACAGGGGCCAGACCGTGGTTTGGACAGAGTGTAGGAGGCAGACGCGGTAGAGCTAATCCAAGAGATAAGGACGTGTCTGACAGTGAGAAATGGAACAATAACAAGAAATGAAGGTGAAGGACTGGAGATGAATCACCCCCGGGGAGAAGTCACAATCATTTCTACAGTGATGTACAGTCTGTGCTCAAAATCTCTTTTTTTTTTTTTTTTTTATCTAGCACAAGCAGAAATGTTTTTGATCTCAGTACATCACAGATAAAAACGTGGGTTACAAAAGCCTAAAATTCAGAACACAACAGAGTTGTTATTAAGGTGTAGTAATCTGGACTATCTTATATATATATTTATATATATATGTATATATATGTATATATATATGTATATATATGTATATATGTATATATATGTATATGTATATGTATGTATGTATATATATAT